CCTCTGTACAGCACATTCTTGAAGCATTACCTCATATGGTCTAGCACAGAGAACTATGGAATCTACCAACAGTCCATGTAAGAGCACTGTGAGCACCCAACCTACCATCTTGAACACCAAGCCTAAAAGTTGTACATATTGTATGAGGATGAGAAAACACAAATCATCCTGGCTTGCAAGGAGACCATCCTGATTCTGATCCATTCCTCAGTGGTCATTCACATTTAGAGCACTAACCAACTCTCTCCACAGTGCTTTGAAGGGTTGGCCTCCAGAAAAAGCCCCTCACCCTGGCTTTCACCTCACAAGACAACCTACTAGTCTTAGCTCCAAGAATTAAAATTCCATGACGTACAATGATCCTAATCTCATCTCAAATTTATAGAATGCAATACCACTTAATTCCTACTTACTTAGCACATACTAGTTCTGGCTTGCAATTTCAGGATTTCATAGAAGTCAGATCTTCTTGTAAGACATTATCACCACACTCACAATATTTGTCTTGTGACTGTACTAACACACTTGAGAACTCCAGTCCATACTAAAGACTGCATGCTTCAAACAAGCCCTGAATTAAAGAAATAGATGGTGGAAGTGCCTTTCTATATTAAAGAAGCAGTCTCATCTTAGAATCTTTAGATTGAACATGATAAACCTAATTCAGGGACAAACATACACATAAACTACTGGCATTAAAAAGACAATTAACATTACAGTTAGCCTCTGCTTTATAGTCTAATGTTTGGTGCCAACACGTTTCCTTAAAATAATTGCCTAAGTCCACAACACACAAAGCTACATCTGAAGTTATAACAAGACAGGTTAGAGCTGACACCATGCACAAAGATTATCTAATCTAAAGTACTCACTAGAAAACATACTTGTGGGTTCTTGGAGTCACCAACTCTCTTTCAAAAACATCAAGAAGCGTCAACAGCAGACTTGCTTGGAAAACAGTTTCAGAAATTTGCTTGAGGAGAATGATGCAGTTGTAATGTTGTAAAATGGATGCCTGAACAATAGACGTTTGTATCATGTCAAGGTGTACTCAATGACACAGAATCACTTCAAAGAAGCTGTTCCACCAGTTCCTGCCATAAACCTCCCATGACATTACTGTTATAGAAAGCCCACTGTAACCGCAATAACAAATTTGACAAGCTGGACAAGAGAGATAAAAACACATGTAGAAGTTTCTCTTTCTCCACAAACACCAAGATGTCCTTGAGCCACAGATCAACACTTAACTTGAAAGAAGTTTTCCTCGTCTTTGCATAAGGAATGGAACCTAACATCCACTCAACCTCTGAATACATTAAGCATATCTATTCTTCCCCTCAAACTTATTCTCACCGGGTTTTAGCTCAGAAAAAGAGAGAACTACTAAAGATGGCCCTTTACAGACAACTTTTATCCATCTTGGACACTTCCATGTCATCCTCCAAATGCTGAAGGCCAGGTTTGCCCCGTGCCACCACAAACGGTGGTCTCCTCATCATGTAGCTATGCCTCACTTCAGAAATTTGGGCGTTTCATGTGTGCTCCATTTGTACAGGTGTCAGAGAATCTGAACTCCACCTGTAAACTACTGGGGCTCTACGCTCGGCCTGTCCTTGGGATTCGCAGCAGCACACGAACAAAGTTAGCGAGAGGAGTCTCCTCAGCAGCACCCCGGCTTCCCTACCCACAGACCTGGAACCATCCCTACAGCCCCGGGCTGGTAGCGCTCAAAAACCGCGACAAACAAAAGAGGAAGGAGAGCTTATTTTCGGTTATTTCGGGTTTTTATAGGAAAACGTGCAAGTCATTTCACGCGGAAATAAATCGGAATAGGACGGGCAGGGAGGGGGTGCCCGGGCAGGAGCCCCGGTTTGCGCCGCGGGCCTGGGCGGCGGCGGCAGCACAACGCAGGTACCGCCGCGATGGTGCCACCGCCGCTGCCCCGGAGCCCGCCCGGAACCCCGCACCCCTCAGCCCCTCGGGCGGCCGCGAAGATGGCGGAGGGT